CTGCCTGTGGCAGGGGTTGGAGCTGGAGGAGCTTTAAGCTCCCTTCCAACACAAACCAGGCTGGGATCGTGTGATTCCCTCTTCAATGTAAACTGCAGAACCATGTGCAGAGTTCAATAAAAAGTTTATCAGGATCATTGCAGGGCATTTTCTGGTCAGAATTGAAGCTAAACCCCATGACATCCTTAACAGCAAACAACCCTGTCTTTAGGGGGAACTGAAAGGCACCTGGGGTCAACCCTTGTTGTCACGACTTGGAGCCAGAACATTCCCATGATGCCACCAGAGACAGACAATCTTTTTCTATAGAAAGGTGGTATTCCCTATGATGGATTCCCTGTTGTTCCACTCTCTACTGGAAATCTTACAAAATGCCACCCCAGTTTCTGGGAAACACAGTGGCCCAGCTTTCTGGGACAAGGTTGGCATGGCTAGAACGGCTTCTGATGGTTATAACAGATGTAATGTCAAGGGCAGGTCTCTACTATGAACAAAACAGTTCATCCTTTGGGTGGATGATGGTGCAGCAGGTCTTCAGCCAGGTGTTTAAGCTCCTTTTTGGTCTTTTACAGTTTCCTTTCCCCCTTTTTTGTGTCTGTGACTGGGGAGGTATCAGGCTTGGGCAGTCCCCCCAACATGCTTCCCAGCACATGGAAGAGCAGAACTCCCCCTTGCATCTTCTCATCTTGATCAAGGGGCAGACCTCCACATGCAGAAGACAAGTGACTCTCCCAGACATCCTAATGCTATCAAAGGGGAGAGAAATCTCATGGTTCTGCAATCCTAACCCCACACAGTCCCATCTTCACTTGAATCAGCTGTGCCACTCAGTAAAGTTCCTCCAGAAAATCTGTGGTTTTCTGCTGTATTGGATCCTGCAGGGCTGTTGGGTTATATCAGCTTAAAGAGGGATCAAGTACCAGAGAGGGAAAACAGAAAGCAGGGGGAACACACAGTGAGGAGGAGAGAGGAAAATCCCCAGCAGGGGACACAAACCACATTACCACTCCACAGCAAACAGGGTGCTGTGTTCCTGCTGGAGAGCCCCACATCTATGAACAAGCAGAGGCAGTTCCTGGATTTTAGGAGCTGTTCCAATCACAGTTCAGTTGTGTGCCTATGACTGTGCAGTACCCCAGGAAAACTTCCAATCCCATTCACAGCAAGAGAACAGCACAATCTGTCTTAACTTGTGATGTGCAACCTAGTAATGGGGAGCTGCTACCAATTTCCCCAGCCAGAGCACCCACCTTTAGCACTGTGTACAGCACAGCGTCCACTGCAACATGCTTCTTTTGTAAAGACATAGGAAAGCCCAACATCCCTATTGCACCAGCAGAAATAAGATGTTGGGAATGTCCACAGCCCATGTCCTAGAATCACTGGGGAAATCAGGGTATTCAGCAGCACAAGCAGAGCCAAGCTCTGCTGACTGGCCCCTAGTGCTTGCATTAGTGAGGGGAAGGGAACAGAAGGCAGAGCTCACCATATGGAGGGGTGTTTAAACACTAGCCCATTTCAAGAGCACTGGCAGCGCTGTAATCAGCACACATGAAGAGGACACACTGTACATCAGGCAGAGGCTCATTCAATCTAAATTATGGAGTCAACATGCTTTTAATTACATCCTCAGCTTTCTGTCATACGATTGTAGCCCAGGATTAGGGGCTACCTTTATACCACACTTTCAGCAACACTTATGGATTTCCACATCTCCCCATCACCTCCTTGCCTTTGCTTTCATTATAATTCCAGAAGAATCAGTGGAGGAGAAAGGCTGCTTGCTCTTTATTTGAAACAGGTATCATCTCTTCGTAGCATTTGCAATGCAAATGCATCCACATTTTGCCAGCAGATGAGGCTTGGGTAAATCCACTTCAACTGCTCAAACAGATAAACCTGGGAGCTAAGCCTGCTCATCTGCCCAGTGTGGACATGGGTTCACAAATAACTCCAGAAAGCCAAAAAAATCCCATTTTCCAAGAGTTATGGCAAAGCTCCTTATAATCTACTGTAGTAGGAAGCTCAACAACTTATCATTTCAGATCATTCATTACTGCCATAATCTGTGATGGCATCTGCATACCTGCTTCAGAAATCTGTTGCTTTCTTATCACCCACTGAGGAACACAAATACGGGAGAGGAAATAGCTCAAAGCTAACAGCAACAAAAAATGCTCAGGTAAAAGCTTTTTGTGTGGCTTTACAAGGTGCAGACAGCGGCATCCTGAAGCTTAACCCTGATACTTACGGTGCATAGGGCAAAGTGTTGGAAAATAAAATACAACCTGAGCAACAGGGGTTTTGTGAAAGAAGACAGTAATGAGGATCACACACAGATTAGGAAACTAGTGACTCTATATCACTAAATCAACTTCATTTTATTGAAACAGGTATGTGGGATATTGCCAAGAGTCTCAGTTGCAGGAGCTACTGACAGTCACTGTGACACGGATAATAAAATGTCCTTGAGTGAAACTGTACCCTATGGAAGTCGTTTGCCAATGACTCTTTCTCCAGCAGAAATTTCTCTATATTCTACAGTGCTCTCTGAGCCTTTTGGTTAAAGAAAATAATTACAACAATCTCTGCTTTCAGAGGATCTTTCCATTCTCTGGTGCCTTCTTATCCCCTGTTCATTCAGACATACCCAGTTCCTGCCATTGCCCAATAAAGTCATCAGCCTGCTGGGATCAGCCTGCTGAGCAGTGTGGTCAGTGCCTGTGCTATGATGTTTATTCTCCTCAGCCTCATCCCAGAATTATTCCAGCCAAGGACATGAAACCACTATGCAAAACAGAATTTAGAAGCTTCCCTCTGAAGAAGATACCATCATCCTTACCACTAAGCAAGAAGAACCCCAGCGCACAAAGCTGCACTTTTAACAGAAGAAGAGACATTTAAGTTGGAACTAGATCATAGAATCATAGAATAGTTAGGGTGGAAAGGACCTTAAGATCATCCAGTTCCAACCCCCCTGCCATGGGCAGAGACACCTCACACTAAACCAGGTCACCCAAGGCTCTGTCCAACCTGGCCTTGAACACTGCCAGAGATGGAGCATTCACAACTTCCTTGGGCAACCCATTCCAGTGCCTCACCACCCTAACAGGAAAGAATATCCTCCTTATATCCAATCTAAACTTCCCCTGTTTAAGTTTTAACCCGTTACCCCTTGTCCTATCACTACAGTCCCTAATGAAGAGTCCCTCCCCAGCACCCTTATAGGCTGCCTTCAGATGCTGTAAGGCTGATATAAGGTCTCCACGCAGCCTTTTCTTCTCCAGGCTGAACAGCCCCAACTTTCTTTCCAACCCTATTTTTTGATTCTAGGATTGTATATAATATTCATGTTTTGCTCCAGGCAATGAGAGGCTTTCCAGAGAGCCAGGCAGAGGTCTTCAGCACAAAGGGAAAGGAGCCTGCAGGCTTCCAGAGTTTTGCTTTAAATCATAAGTATCATTTCAGCCTGTGTGGGCTGACTCCACTGCAGAAGAAGGAAGATGAATCCCTAAGGAACCATACTCAGCCCTGGCTCTGGTGCTCACTTTGAATCATACATCGGAAAGTATGGTCACAAAGATCTCCTTGACAAAGCCCCTGGTACAATAGGATGGCCAATGAATGCCTTTGATCATTTCTTGATCATGACCATTATTTCTGGACTGAAGGAACACCAAAGTTCATGAGACAGCTTCACCCATGACCCTCTCTTGTAGCAGCACATCTGCCAGTCCTCAAACAAAACTACACCGCTGCTTCCCTCCTCCTACCTCCAGCATGAGCTTTGAGGACAAGGAACCTAAACAAAACAATAAAACTGAGCAAGAATCTGTTCTTTGGAAAACATTTTTCCTTCTCTAATAACTTAAGAGAAAGAGCGAAGGTGCAGCACTGAAGGGCTTTTACCACTCAGAAACGTTAACTCCTTTCTCTCTTCCCATGCTGCCAAGAGCTAGAAATAAATCCAGACCTTTACTGATCTATGTAATCCAGATCACGTGGATGGGCTAAGGAGAAACTGTGTGCAAAACAAGGTACCAAAGTCTAAGAGCTTGCAAACCATTAAGATGATTCAGGTTGTTAATTCCAGATGAGATTTCCACAGATGCTGGGGACGGTCCAGCTAGGCTTCAAACCTGGCAGCCTGAGCTCTACAATGGCCCAAACCCAAAACTCATATGCAACAAACACCAAATCCTTGGCTGACCCCTGGGGTTTGAACATCAAGAGACCAACGTGTCCCCAAAATCCAGACATTGGCTTAAACAGCCAGAGATTCCAAACAAACAAACAACATGGCCAAAAGTAACTCTAAGCAACCAGACAAAACCCTGAGATATTTTCATTTTCTTCTGCTTGAGCTTCACCTTTCTCCATGCTGCTCAGCTACACCAAATGTACTATGAACCCTTTGATGTCCAGCTCCAGCACTGAAATATTTATACTCGCATCAGTGGGATCCAGGTGAGCTTTCAAGATGATGCAGGAGTAAGTGTTGGCTGCACAGGGTCAGATCAGTGTAATGGCAGGGAGCTCACTTAACTCTGGGGTCTGGATTTGAAATCATAGAATCTTCTGATGGTTTGTGTTGGAAGGGACCTTAAAGCTCCTCCAGCTCCAACCCCTGCCATGGGCAGGGACACCTTCCACTGGAGCAGCTTGCTCCAAACCCCTGTGTCCAACCTGGCCTTGAACACTGCCAGGGATGGGGCAGCCACAGCTTCTCTGGGCACCCTGTGCCAGCGCCTCAGCACCCTCACAGGGAAGAATCATCACAATCAATGATTTTTCACCAGCTTATCCCCTATCTGTGGCTCTACAGTCTTCTAAAACTACCCCACTGCAAGGAAGGGACAGGTAGGAAACGTGTGTAGGGAGACAATGTACAGTGTGATGTAGCACCCCAACTTCACTTTTTCAGCTACATCATCCCACAGTGCTAATTCCAACACATCTTCACTTCAAGGTGGAGACAAGCAAGTCATTAGGTGTCTTACCCTGATAAGACGCCCAGCACCAAGTTGAGCATGAAGAAAGAGCCAATGATGATGAGAGGGATGAAGTAAAGCCAGTTCCAGGTATTTCCTGCAGCATCATTTGTCTGGAATCAAGGAAAAAGGGAGAAAGAAAATCAGATATTAATTCACATTGGAAACAAAGTACTATATGGAAACTGCAGGGCAGAGGGCAGGGGAGATTCCCCTCACATTTCCAGAGGGCTGTCCACCACTGATGTCTGGTTAATTCTGTTATGCTCACCAGCTGAAATGCCAGCAAAAGGACTGGTGAACCAAGCTGACTGTCCCACCATCCACACCACAACTTGTCATCCATTCCAGTGAGAAGATTCTTCTATTCCTACAGCTCCAGACTGCTCCTGTTGCAGGGCTAAAACATGCTTTGAAGCAACCTACCTTTGGTGAGACTCTGGACATCAACCTGCTCCCTTCCCACCTCAACTCTGCGTTCCCATGCACTGCACATCAATGTCACATTCGCATCTGAACTGAGACCCGCAACAAGGGAAGGGAACCCACGGCCCTGCATTAATCTGTGCTGCAATTAAGGCAGAGCGTGGCTCCGTGCCCAGAATCTGTGCACACACGCAGAGCAGAAGACAAGGAGTCTGCGAGGAAAGGAGGCTTCTTCAGAGCGACTGCAATTCTACATCTGCTGACTCAGCACTTTGGGCTTCTGTCATCAAACCCTGTCTGAGGCTCCCTGAGTAAGCAGCAGCCTCGATGGAGGGGAGGGAAAGGCAGTTTAGTTTATGACAAAGTTTCTTTATTCATCAACCACAAGGGAGCTCTTTAAGGAAGTGCTGAAATGTAAAATGCCACGTTGCCATTTACTGAGCCCGAGTGCTGAGGAAAAAGCCAATTCTCCTCTTGTGAGTGAAGAATGCAGCAATTTGAGAATCTGCTGTCGGGTGGAAGGGAGGGGAAAAGAGAAGCAAAAAGAAAAGACAAGACCCAAAGACATTCTCCTCCTCCTCCCTCCTTCTGCAGAGGGTAAAGAACAGCAGGAACACAGAGCTCACCTACCTGCCCTATCACAGAGGCTGGCAGAGACCACAGAGAAGTGCTCTCAGACACCAGCTTGTAAAAAAATGCATTAATTCTAACTGCTATGGGTGCCTTTTACTTCTTATCTGTAGTGCTTTGGGGTCATTATTCCCAACCATATTTGCAAGGGTAATTCTGCTTGCAGAAGGATTCACAGAAAGAAGTGTTTGAAATGGGCTTTATTTCAACCAAGTGTGCACTTGATGCCACCTCAAAGAGGGCAGAAGTCACCTCATAAACAACCAAAACCAATGTGTGACATGGGGGACCGATGTCATAGCGTTACTTACAGGTTATAACATTTATAGCACTGATGCGAGTAAATACCTTTTGTGACATCTTTTAGAATTGTGCATATCTGCACCAATTCTTCCTCAAGGAACACGCTCCGGATCATACTCACAACAGGCATGGCTCCAAACAGCAAAAAATCTATGGAAATATCTATGCCAGTTGATCAGTGACTCACCTGAGAGGAACAGGGACTTACCAACCTCATCAAACCCACCCTCCCAATAAAGGGAAAACCAGCATGACAGATTAATCCGAAGGAAAAACAGATTGGGAAATGAGCGCAGAAAGACAGGGAAAACTGCACATCACAGCCTCTCATTATGGTTGTTTAATGCCTTTTTGCAATACCTGTCATCCCACCCAAGCTGTGCTACTTCTGCATTCTCTGTTTTGTCTTTCCATTCCCCCTCTCTCTTCCTTTAGCTATTTCCTTTCCTTGTTCTGCTGCACCACATCCCTATGAATGGATTCAGAGGAATCAAGGATGCTCGTCCTTAGTGCCTTTTCCACCAACACGTGGGAAAAGGGCCTGGTTCAGCTCCTGGGGTTACCAGAGCAAAAGCCATGGTTTTAAATTTAGAAGCTGTTCTTCAATTCCCATGTTGTTGCCAGAGGTGGCAGCTCTCACGTCTCCACTTGAAGCAAGCGCATCCCCATCCGCCAGGCTGGGATCTGCCATCAGCCAGGCAAGGGGGGCTTGAAAACCGACACACAAGGAAGAGCTAGAGGAAGGGAACAGATGGGAAAAGGGAAACCACATAAACATGCAAAGAGAGTGCAGCGGGTTCATTGCTGCCAAATGATCATTTATCGTTTATTTATTCATTTGAAGCCCAAACTTGGCGACACATCCACAATTCTATGCCACGATCAAAGCCCTTAGAAATGAAATGTGCTGAAATACAACTAATTAACCACCCTCCTCTCAGTGTTTGCTAGACTGTTTTATGCTCGGGGCACAAAAAGGCCTTGCTCTGTTTGCTCTGCCTCACACACAGGGATCCAAGACAAATCAGAGGGCAAAACACCAGGCAAAAAGGTCGACAGAAAAGCTCTCCTGATAAAGCAGAGCCTTCCCAGATGTGCAGCATCATTCCCAGTGCTCCCAAGCGAGCTCAAACCCCACCATAGTTTATGGCACAGGCTCTGCTATGGTGAGATGCTTCAATGAATCAATCCTGTTTGCTGCCAGGATACTGAATTCCTCTCTTCCAAGGAAAGCCTGGATTCCCACGGGCATCTCTGGCTGTGCTGAGCAGAGGCTGCAGCCCTCTGCCCATGGAGCCGCTGAGGCTTGGGCTGTGGCCTGGCTCCAGGCTTGATCATTAAGCAGGATGGGTGAAGAGATCAAATCAATGTCTATGTACAGTGTGTTACACTGCTGTACCGCCTGGCTGACTGTCAGCGCGACCTGATCCTAACCACAGGGAAGGAGGAGAAATGAAACACTTGTCCTCATGCACCCGAATTCCATGCACGCACAGTAAGGGCTTATGGGAGAGCTCTCTCACTGCCCAGGAGCTGAGTAACCCACAGGTCAGTAATAGCTACAGGGCTCTTCAGAAGCACCCCCTGAACAAACAGTGCCCACATGGAGCTGAAGCCTTGCTCCAGGAGTGTCCCAGCACAGTACCTCAGGCACACAAAGCCCTTATGAAACCTTATGAACTCTTCCCAAAAAGCCCAGCAGCCACGGCTCCCTTTTCCCAACCACTGCTCAACTCCAAGCCGCTTCCACCCCTGACCCAGCACTTGTGCCAAGGTGCACCCACTGCTCCTGCTGACAGCTGAGTCCTCCCTTTCCCTTCTTGGGGATCAGAAGTAGATGATCTCTAAGGTCCCTCCCAGCCCAAGCCATTCTATGAATTTGGTTTTGGGGGTGGTTTTTATTTTTGCTAAAAGCCTAGATCCCCAACAGCATCCTTCCAGCCTCCTCCGTGTGACTCTGCTCCATCATCCACCCAGGTACCCCTGCTCAGCAGGAGCCCTCAGGTCACAGCTGGATGCCAAAGGACAAACCTTTATACGTTGACACAATGCACAGTTGCCTTTAAGCACCTTCATGCAGCACCAAGCACATTGCCAGCATCTCCAAGCAGTGACAGCACAGCCACCTCTCTGCAGACGCAGAGACAGGGAAGTGAGAACTGTCGTCTGTAACAAACGCAGAAGCTAAAAGGCTCCTGTCACACAGGGAGATTAATGCCCTGAGCTCCAATACAGTCCAAGAGAACTGAGTGTACTCCAGCAAAGCACAAGATACTTCCCACAACCGAACCTTTTGTGGCTTGTCCAACACCAGAAAAAGGCCAGCATTAATTCTCACTTCAGTCTCTCAGACACAGGGAGCTCTCAGGCCACTGCTTCATTATATTAACAAGATGGCAGCTGCTTCAAATTATTAATTCATTTAAAGATATGTTTTGAAACAATTGACTTGAAAGCAGCCTACTGCTGCTTGCATTGTGCTGCAGGGACCAGAACTGCTTTTATATTACCTTTCATCTTCCCTGGCCATGGCCCATGTTCTGAGGCTTGTAAGGGGGGGCAAAGCCCTTGTGCCTGGCTGCCCTAAAATGAGTTCCTCTATTGCTGGAGCCTCTTGCAGCTCTGCTCCAGCCACCCCATCCCCTCACCATTAAGTGGTCTGTGAAGCCCTCCCTGCTCCAGCATCCTTCTCCCAGCTCATCCCCATCACAGCAGCACCACACCGGCTCTCCCAGGACCCTGCCTACTTCCAGCTCAGTGTTCCCAGCACCGGGGCATCACCAGTGAGACTCACAGCCAAATCCCATATGCTGCTGACTTCAGACGGGGCTGATCAAAGGGAGCAGGAGCTGGCTTGATAGGTGAAGGAGCATGTGGGTACTCTTCCGCCCTTCCTTGCCAGGGAGGATTCCATCAGCTAGTGGGGAGATACTGGGTTAATGATGACAGCCCCTGCAGAAGAAGCCCCAGCAGCCCCCAGGAAGTGAAGCCTGGGCTTTTTCTTTCCTGATCATGGTTTTCATCAGCGATGAGCTTGGGGTTCTGGAATCCCAAAGTAACAAGCACACAATCAAGTAGAATTTGGTTTACACAGGCAAGTGACTGCTTCCAGTCAATGAGTAGCAAATCAGGTTTCAGGGGCTTTCCAGGCTGCAAATTAGAGCAAGTCAAACAGAGAATAATCCCCAAAATCCTGCCCTCCTCTTTTCCCTAAGCAGACAGCTCAGCTGCCCCCAACCTTCTACCCTCTCTAGCTTCTGCAATACACCCTAAACCTATATTTCACCTAGGGAAAGGATAGGAGATTGCCACGTACACCCAGGCATGTGTGCCACTGTGCAGTGCCCAGCAAACTGGCGTACCAAGGCCATGCTGCAGTGGTGAAGCTGAGACCTGGTGGATCTGCAATCCAAAGCTGACAGCAATCCTAGCTGGTGCACATGGAAGACCTGCGACCTCTCTGCAATGCCTACAGGCCTCTTCAGCACATGCCAAGGGAGCCAGGCAGTGACACCACGTGTTTAAATCATACAATAGTTACGGTTGGAAAGGACCTTAAGATCATCCAGTTCCAATCCCCCTGCCATGGGTAGGGACAACTCACACTAAACCATGTCATCCAAGGCTCTGTCCAACCTGGCCTTGAACACTGCCAGGGATGGAGCATTCACAGCTTCCCTGGGCAACCCATTCCAGCGCCTCACCACCCTAATGGGAAAGAATTTCCTCCTTATATTCTATCTAAACTTCCCCT